AAATAGGACAGTAACTCCCAGATACAGAAGTCTGAACACAAAGGTAGTGCACATTTTTCCCCCCACAAAGGGGATGAGTTTGCCTCCATGGCCTGGCTGCTCACTGCTGCTGAATGTTTTTTAGCTGGTTGTCATTAAAGAGCAGAATGGAAAGAAGTCAGATGTCAGGGAAAGCAAGATCCCCTCCCTTACTGTAGGACAAGTAACAACCCCAGTAACTCCAACTACAACTGCTATAAATCTGCCACATACCGTCACATGTATGGTGAGGCTTTCACCACACGAGAAAGGGCATGCATGTTCCAAACCCGTGTAAAAAGATCAGCTTCTTCAACACATTTTTAGTCCTTAGCACGAGAATTGACAAAAACACCATTTCATTTTGAAGGAGAGAAACCATATGTGAAAGGTACAAGTTTGATTGCTTTTTATTAATTTAGCCTTATTTGCTGTGAGACTGGTCTCCATGGAAATGCAGGCAGACGAAAAACCTGCAACCAGAAGTGAGTCAGTTTTGCCTGTTTATGTCTCCTCAGTTCCCATAGAAACAGATATTAAAAAAAAAAAAAATGAAAAAGGATAAGGGTCCTGAAATACCTTCAGAAAATCTCTTCCCAGAGCTTATCTCTTTGGCTGCCTTTCCAGAATTAGAGTTGAAAATAACACTGAGCAACAGATGACAGAGCAGTGACTTGATTTTGTTATGGAGACATCAACAGAAAATACCTGGGGATGTTTCAGAAGCCACATTCAAACCGAGAGCTCAAAATCTATAGTTATAAATTGTATTAACTTGGGTTCTGGCAGAAGTACCCGAAGTAGAGTATATTTTCAAATTAATTCAATGCTAATGTAGATGCAAATACAATAAAGAACTGGAAAACATGGTCACGCTGCCCTTGTCCCAAGCATATTTCAATACTCGGAGAGGCCAAAAAAAGTGCTGCCTTGGGGGGATGAGTCCAATATTTCCATAGCCAGGACATTTTTAATGGAATCAATCCTTCCTTACAACATACTCATTTTTGCAAAATCAGCTATACACGTACCAGGTTAAGTAACAAACATCAGGATTTCATTTTAACGTGACCATGTTCTGCCCTTCACAGCTCTGGGTAAAAAAGTCTTCCTCCAAGGAGGAACATAAAGGAAATCCTGAAGCACTGTCAGCAAGGCTCCATCTCCTTCCTACTGCCCAGAGATGCCAGGGCACCTTCCCATGCACCGTCTCCTTCACAGTAGCACAGATACCATCTCCTTCCTCCTCAGAGCCAAACGTACCGAGGTATTGGAAAGGACAGGAGAGAGTTGTTAGGAAAGAGGCTGTGGTGCGTGTCTCAGCCCTTCAAAGCCTGCTGCTATCACTACTGTTATTGGTTAATAAATCCCTGGCAACTCGCTGTACATAAACAGAGCTACAATTACCTGCTGCTGCAAGGTCCTTCACGTACGTACAAGATACCCAGCCTTGACACCAAATTTATTTCCTTGTGTATGTCCCACCCCATGTTATCAATTCTACGCACTTTTAGCACGCCATGAGGCAACCCAGCGCTTGGAATCAGAGGCACTGCCTGTCCGCAGAGAACTTGCGAGAAAGGGTTTTTCTTACTGCTACTGCCAGAGACCAAAGCTGCATTACGGAAACCAGGAAAAGAGAAAATAAAAATGAAATGGAAAAAAGGAAAGCTCACCTCAATCCTACAAACTGCTCCTACAGTCCCAGCGATGCCCAGAACTCGCAGCCCTCCAGCACTCGGTGTTACGCACCTCTTTCTGTGCCAAACTGCTGCTCTGAGAGCTAGCAGCATCACCACACGTATGAGAAAGGCAAGGCTGCAGGAAGAACAGCCCGTCACCATGCTCAGGACAAGGGTAAGAGAGGGGTCACAGCCGCTGGCAGTTTGTCTTGAATGGAAGAAGCAGCTGAGCCTAATTCAATCTTAATTAGCTCACGTTAGCGAATTCAGTCTATTCCTGTCACAGGAAAGATAAGCCTTAGAGAATTAATTCATTTCAATTCCCCGTTGTGTTTTGGCAAGGTGTAGAGTCACTCAGGAAGGAGAACGATCTCCCAAAACTCGTGAAGGCATCACTCAAAGAGGACAGATTTAAAGTCAGGCAGAGATGGTAAGAGAACCACCGACGTGCATCCTTCAGGCTGTTCAGAAGTTTAGCTCCCTTCTTGGAGGTGTCAGAAGTGGCAATAAATGACATACTTCAACTGTTCACTTCTTACTGCAGCAGCTGAGCATACAAGCATCCACATCTCGGTGTGACCAGAGTTCTTACACTCAAATCCCTAACAGCCACGTACGGGCGTTTTCTAACACATTAAGTGAACAAATCACACGAGCACCAAGTAAGCAGGTGAAGTATTTTTCACCATACTCTATGACAACTTTGATTTCTGGCCGGTGTTAAGTACAGGTGTCAAGTTCTCTAAAAGCAGTCTCTGAAGAGATTACGAGGGTGTCAGATACCAGGATCAGCTGAGCTTCATGCCTCCGCTGGCACAAAGAACGGATTAGAGAGAAAATGTATGTGACCACTGAAACTAGGGAGTCACCGACACCAAAGTCACTGGTCACGTGAAAAAAGAAAATAATGGAATGAAAAAGTGACATACGCATAAAATCAATACTCTCAGATTATTAAACACCCAGGAATTAACAAAGCTAACTTTGTTTTGCCCTTTTCGACTTGAGCCTTGTATCAGTTAGGAAGAAATTGACAAGGTCACAGATGGAATTTGTAGGAAATAAAAACACAGCTATCAAACATCATCTGCCTCCTGTACTGATTAGGCAAGGCTTCCTTTAGATAAAAGAAAACATAATTGCAACTTTATAAGCCATATTATGTTACACGTGCTCAAGGAGGCCTAATCACGGTTAAATGAGCAACCTCAATTCTGTTATTTGTTAACTCCCAAATGCTTATTTATAGAAGCTTAACGTTAACTCCTCCGATCAAGTTTCCCAATATAGGATTTTGAATGTGTAATTCACGTCCGCATAGGTTCCTCATGTATAAAATTACATGATAAATAAAACATTTTTAGTACAAACAGAACTCTAATGATCAACTGACAACCGCTACCACCTTCACTGCTTTCAAAAGCAACCACATAAAAACTCTCCCTCTTACATTTGACTGCTGCTTGCACGAAACTTGCAAGGAGCTGCATGTGATATTTAAGACAATCCATAAAAGTCTCTAGAAGAAAAGAAACGATGGTACAGCGCATACCAACTGGGACAACTGATAAAGATTGCTAAGCTAAATCTTCAAGTCGGCATCACTGCTTTGTAACTGTTGAAGAAGTTTAATATAAGCACTGCAATTTCCAGGACTAAATGAAGAACACGTTTAAAACACAAGATTAAAATAAAAAGTAGACATACACCTAAGACAAAGACAGTGACATCACCTCCTGTCAGAACACCCTGGGTACCTGGAAGCTGCCAGGACGCCCAACACAAATTATTCTAACTTAAGTCATCTTTTCCGGTAGAAGCATTCAATTTCTGGAAATCCACCTCTGCCTACACCTTTGCTGTATGACCACAAAATGACCACAAAACCCCCAAGAAACTGCCATGCCTTAAAACAAGAAATCGCACACAAAACTACAGCCACAAAATCCAGAGGCAGAACCTGAAGAAATGTAGAAGCTCCCCCAGCGCCCCGGTACGTGGCACAAAGACAAGGTTCCTCCTCCGCATTTAACAAAGTTCACACACAGGTTACAGCCTGAAGGGTTTTGCTGTGCACATGGGGTTTTGTTTGGTTTGGTTGGGGTTTTGTTTGCTAGTTATACAGGCTGGGGGAAGTCTCAACACAATTTCTGATGCTACGAAAGAAGCAAAGGATGGCACGTATGGCAATTTGGCAATATAACATGACCAAGCTGTTCTTTTAACTACATTCTGCACTTATTTCCATTTGGGAAGGATTTTGTACGTATCATTGACGAAAGTGCTGGTTTTCAGAAGGTCACCATCAAGATTTTGACTCTCTCCCTGAAGCACCAACCTGAACAAAAAACTCCCTGTCCAGAAAGACGCCACATGTCACCTTGCAGAAGTTCAGTCTTGTGATACCTGTTCCAGCACAGGTCACCTTAGCAGTCCTCCTGTCAAATTCACTGCATCAGTGCAAACAGCATCTCCGAGCCATCATCTGCCATCACACACAGCTTCTCAGGGCATGTAACAGCAGATACGGAGCGTGCAGAGGTAGAAAAATACCATCCAGCTTATTAGGCATTGCAGCAGGAGCCTCCAGCAGCATGCCCAGAAACGCAATACAGGGAAGGAGAATTGGAGCGGTGGCTGCTGTTGGACACAAACCCAATCCCTCTGGATCAGAGCTTCCCAGCCGCTGATCCAGAGCATGGGTTGGCTGCGAGACGTCTGAAACAACCCATGGAGCAGCTGCGGAGAAGGCTGGATTGTATTTTGGGCAGGAAGGGGAGAAGAGAGAGTTGTTTTCTTGTTTTTGTATTTCAAAAAAAATGATTCTCGCTTGCAAGCAGTTGGCACAAGCAGAACTGGAAGCACTAACTGAGCAATCAAAGCTCAGCATGATTCCTCTCCCACTGCAACTAAACCCTCCCGCGGCATTACCGCGCCGCACAATCCTCAGATTGTATCCGGCGAGGTCAAATGTCTCTTTGGGCTTCAAAGGGTCGGGAGCCAGGCACAGGGTTTGGATGCCAGGCAGCTGGCAGGTAACAGCGGGGAGGAGGGGTGGGAGGTGAGGATTTCTGAAGGGCACAGTGGGATGAGAGAGTGACAAATGGGTGAGCAGGGGACGAAATCCAACCCCCCGTAACCTCTTTGTGCTGAGGATGAGCAGCCACAAGCTCGAAGGGGCCGTTCTGCTGGGGTCCCAAATGGGGGTTTGCGGAGCGTGGCCCCGGTTTCGCCCCAAGCAGCGCCCCGGCTGCCCCCGCCACAGCCCCCGGCCCCCCGGCCCCCCGGCCCCGCACTTACTGGAGTCCTCCCAGCGCAGGAGGTGCAGCTTCCAGGCGGAGTAGTAGAGGAAGCCGAGCACGAGGAAGAGGCAGAGCGCCAGCAGCACGTTGCGCACCAGCACCAGCAGCCCCATCCTGGCGTCACGGCCGCTCCGCTACGGCACCTGCGGGACCGAACGGCAGCGTCAGCGGGGCACCGGCACCGACCCGCACCCAGACCCCAACCCCGGCCCCGCCCGTCCTCACCCCGCCGCCCCCGGGCTCTGGGCCGCCGGGCGCGGGCCGCCGCCATGCCGGGCGCTGCGGGACCGGCCCCGCCACGGCCCCGCCACGGCCCCGGCCCCGGCCCCGGCCCCGGCCCCGGCCGCCGCCGCCGCGCGCAGGGGGCCCCGCGGCGCAGCCAATGGCGGGGCGGGGCGGGGCGAGGCGCGGCCAACCCGCCCGCATAGCGGCCGGCGGCAGCCAATGGGAGAGCGCGGGGGGCGGCCTGCGCCGCCAATCGCGGGAGGAGCTGCGCGGGTAGGAGGGGGGCGCGCCGGCAGCGCCGCTGCCCCGGAGGGGCGCTGCGGTGGGGAGGCGGTGCGCATGCGCGGGGGTGCTTCTCTCTCTCCCCCCCCCCCCCGCTTTAAATCACGGCGCGGCGCTCAGCCAATCAGCGCGCGGCGCGCAAAGCCCCCGCGGTAAATCACGGCGCGGCACTGCGCCTAGGGGCGTGCTGGGGGCTCCGCGCTGCGTCCCGGCCCGGCCCTCCCCGCACATCCCCGGGCTCCCCCCCGGCACAGCGCCCTTCGTGCCACGCAGCCGGAGCTGCTCCCAGGCCTTTCTGGGGCGTTTGCCCGTCTGCGCCTCTCCCCCCCCCCCAGCAGCCCCCCAGCTTTGCCCCAGTGCTCCTTCGGCAGGGAGTGAGTGAAAGATGTCCTATAGGAAGGGGCGCGGGGAGGGGATGATGAAGAGATACGAATAGAGGAGGAAAATATATATCTATTCTAAAATAAAAGGTACCGTAATGAATAGCCCCGCATTTTCAGGGTATTAATGAAAAGCGGTGATTTCCTGTTTCCACTCGCCGTGATTCAGTGCTAACACAAGGAAACAGAAAGCCACGTGAAATTAAGGGACTGTGGTAGGGCTGGTGTCAGCACAGTGGCATTCCCTGCTGTGGGCAAGCCTGGGTGCCAGTGCCTGCAGGCAGACAGCATTGTGGTGGCACAGGCTGCGTCCTGCTCAGCCCACTCCCCTGGGGAGGGGCAGAGCCCACACAGGGCCCATGGAGAGCTGGGGGGGGGGGGCTGCTATTCTGAGACACCGCAGAGATCCCAGCTTTATATTCAGCACAAATGAAGCCATGCCAGCTTGCTGAATGTGCTGCATCCTTGCAGCTGGGCTCACAGATCCATCACACTTCTCCATTGGGACACAAGGAATGCACATGGCACGCTGACAACCCGCTGGGCCCTTTGGATGCAATTTCCACAACACAAAATCTGAACAGATCCATGCCAACACCCGGATATCACTGGCACCAGCAATGCCAGGGGGTGGAGAGGGGCCAAAACCACAGCAGCCCAACCCAGCCCATGGATCTGGCCCCCACTGAGCACACTGTCCCCCACCTCCCCAGGGCTGAGACATTCAGACACCGGTCATGCTCACCCATCCGAGATATCTGCCTCCCCTCCAGCTGCACGGCTGCTCCCGCAGGTTCATGTCCTCAAGCAGCCTCACCACCTCCTGCTCCGCAGCTCTGTCACAAACACCCAGCTCTTGCTTGCCTCTCTCTGCACCTCTCCATCCTTCCGGCCAGGTAGCGCAAGCTCCCTATCTCTGCACCATATCTGGATGTGTTCCGACCTCACCTAAAACACCGCAAGTTGACCGCTCGTGCACTCAGAGCTCAAACTGCCTGCTCGGCGGGCACAGCAGGTGACCTGATTTTGATGAGGAGTCAGATAAGCAGGGACCTGTTGTGTGGAGGCAGATAACAACAAGGCTGGGGCTTGCCAAGGAGCCTGGGTTTGTCGTTCGGAAACTCTACCCCGTGCTATCAGGTGTCGGTGTGCTGGAAGAAGCCCAGCGTGAAGTCAGGCAGCCTACCTGCCTGGAAAAACCCAGGGAGGAGAGTGCCATGCGTTTATGGAAATCAGGTACCACCACCTGGCAGCTAACAGCCACGAGATGAATTACAGCAACGATTAGTGGAGTGATCTGGTTCGAGTGGCAGGGCTTCAGTCTGAACATGTTCCTACTTAGCTTACACATTTCATTTGCAGGCAGATGTCAAGCTGGATGTTGCTAGGAGAATGACAGCAGGGGAATAATTAAGCCTGATTAAACCCTATCATATTGCCGTGCTGCTTTCTGGAACGCACTGGAGCTTTTCCAGTAAAACTGACCAAATGAAAGGGCAAGAACTGTGGCACATCCTGGTCCACACAAACCCACTTGCAGTCAACCCGCTAAGCCCTGGGATGAAGCCTGTGTCTGCCCACGTGCTTGCAGAGCATGCCCCACAGCATCGCTGGCCTGCAGGCTGGAGGAAGGGCTCAGGGAGAGGACACACTGCAGCTAATTCAGCAGGACCAGGAGCAGGTGGTGCCTGTGGGTGTCCCACACCCAGCTGCCCTGCATCAGCCCCACCAGCTCCCCTGGGCACTCACATCTGTCTGGGTACAACCCAGTGCCCACATAACATGTAGGGCCAAAGCTCTCCTCTGGTTCAGGCTCTCACATCCTGATAGGGCTGGGCCACATCCTGGAGACCTTCAGCAGAACTTCTCCCTTCCCCTCCTCTGAAAGCAGGCTGGCACATCACAACTGCTCCGCAAACGCAGCTTGTGCTTGGTGTCATCAACCGCAGGCACTTCCTCCGCAGCAGCACCTGTTTGCCTTTTTGTTTGGTAAGGTCAAACATCACAAGGTGTGACACGTCAAGGTGAATAACAGCGATGTGCTCTTTTCTCAGCAGTAAATAAAGTTGTGCTGTAACTATCCACACTGGTTGCCACACACACATCTGTCTCCAGGCTCCCTCCGCAGCGAGCCTGCTAACCTCATTTGACTCTCTGCCCTATAGAAATTCTCATTCTAATACTCACGCTGTAATCCTTCCCCCCAAATTACATGTCATCGCATCAGCCTTGATACTAATTAATGTAATACATTATTATTAATTAAATGCCACTAAATACCACAGCAAAGATCTCTTTCCAGTAATAGCTAGACAGGGATTACCTCCGCTGATGCACGGGCTCGGGGAATGAAACGTGGGCTGTAACACACTCATATTTTGTCTCGATCACTCCAGCCAAACTTGTTTTTATCTCACACACTCGTCATGCATTATTCCTAAACGCCTGCTGTGCGCTCTGGGGATCACCGTGCTCAGTTTGTGGGCAGCACTTTGCATTTCTGCTGCTCTGGCTGCCCTCAGAGCAGCCCCACTGAAGAGCACCGGCAGCAGTCCCTCGCGAAACGAGCTCAAACAAGCCAACCTCTGCTGAAAAATCCTGCCCCCCTCCAGATGTTTTGAGCAGCACAGAGTCACACTCACCGCGGCGCAGGCGGCTGGGCAGCGGCAGCCTGCATGCACACATCGTGGCCACCCCAGGCTCCCCATGGTCTTCCTCAGGAGAAGGGACAAAGCGGTGCTGCCTGGCGTCCCGCTGCGCCAGGCTGAGCCGCCGGCCGGCACGCCACGCGGCGTTTCCTCGCCTTAATCCCAACGTGCTACGTCTGGCTCGGGCGTATTTTCCGAGAAAGGAGCGAGGCTGCCTGTGACGAGGGGAGCTGGCTCTGCCAGCGCTCCCAGGGCTGCGTCAGGCGTCCCTCGGACGAGCAGCCCGCACCCCCTGCCTGGCTTCAGCTCGCACATGCACTGTCCTCCCCTGCCTTCTGCTGGACTGAAGAGCCTGTCTGAGCCTGGCATTTTCTCTTGGTGACACTGTGCATATGCTGTGAGCAACCCCCCCCCCCATCCATCTTCCTGATGAGCAAAATACACGGAGTTGCTTAATTCTCGAACCGCCAGGCTTTTCCTCCCACCCTCAAGCCATTTTTTGCATTTCTGATCTACGCAGCCTCTCCAATTTTCCTGAATCCTTTTCAAGACGCAGAATCCCACAAAGAGCCTCCCTAATGCTCAAGCTTGGAGATTAAATCTGCCTTTTCCTACTCCCTGTCTTAAAGGATTTCTTTAGTCCTTGCTGCCGTAGCACCAGACAGCCTTCACAGGGGGTCGTCCCAAATCTTCTCCAGCCCCACCACTAGTCACCTGGGCTGCTGGGGACACCTCTCTCCATGCCCATCCCTCACCTGCTCCCTGCCCCAGCATCACGAGTACCAGGGGTGACACTTTCTGGGGACCTGTCGAGCCGAGCCTGGCAGCTGCAGCAGGTTTGGAGCTCTCTGGGAGCGGACGTCCCGGCTCTCATTAGCCGGCTGAGCGAGGCGATAGAGGACAGCAAAAAGCACAGCCGTGCCTGCCAGCTCTCAGGCTGGTTTGGGTGTGAAGTCAGTGCAATAGCACGCAGTGCTCCTCACGCCTCGCCCAGCCCACGCGCAGCGCCAGCAGCGGCTCAGGAGCGCGGCGCTGCTCAGTCCCTGCGCTCCGCACCGCGAAGCAGCCTGGCAAAGTAACGAGCCGGGTGGAGTTTCCGCGTTTAATTCTGCCCCTCCAAGAAGCCAGCTGAGGCTTCCTTTGAATATTCACCACTCCAAGGGGCTTCTTTCTCCCCAGCAGCCCCGCAGGGAGGTGGATGTGAAGTGAGGCTTTGTCCCAGCCCACGCAGGGTATCACCATCGCTTCTCTCGTGCACTGCTGACGATGGAGCCTGGCTCCCTCCACACCCATGCTGTTCCCTCCCCACTCCAAGCCCATGGCACAAACCCAGGCTGCTGTCCTTGGCACCTGGCACGGGCAAAGTGCCTGTTTGATAGGTAACAGTGTGGGGGAGCGAGAAGCAAGGTGGACCCAAATTACTGAGATGATTGTTAAATAAATCTGAATCTCACAAACCACTGGAACCACAATGGCAAGAACCTGGGTGGGACACGGGGGTGGTGGGGGGACCCGCTCCCGTAGCCCCAGATATCTCTTGAACAACATTTTGGTGAGGTAACTGCAGCTCCTGTTGAAACACACACGTTAATTTTTAACAAATACTCACCTGGTAGGAGGCCAGGATATTTTGAAGAGCTAAAGCCATGAGCAGAGAAACAGCAGATTGCTTTGCGCCCAGGCTGTTAATGGGAAGGCAAAAAAGCAGCGAACGGCACCCTGCTGCTGTCGGCACAACACAGACTGTGTCAGAGAAACTTCTCCTTGGGCACAAGGAAAGGTCTGGCTGGTAAGAGCATCCAGGCAGCACACTTTGGCTTTTCCATAGGAGTCAACGATGATGTAGGATTTTAATTTAAAAATGTACGATAAAGAATTAATAAGGCTCACGTTAGATTAACTGCGTGCATTAACAACTAAGCTCTGAGGTCTGTCCACGAGCCAAGATTTAATGGGGAGACATCAACAACCGGGAACACGTCTAGACCCCCAGCGACTGTTTCTTGGTCGGGTGCCATTTAATATTTTTTAAAATCAATTATCTAGATGACAAGAGACAGGCTTACGTTTGTGGCTGATCCAAATACCGAAGGGGCTGTTGCTGCCACGCTGCGAGGCGAACATCCCGCCAGAACAACCCCAACCCACGGCGCAGGCACAGTCCTGGCTGCAGAGGAAGGTGCTCGGGAACAGCCAGGACGGCCTGTACTGTGGGATGGAGGATCTCCCAGAAAGCAGGGGAGGGAGGGAAAAAAAATGTTTAAGGAAAAAAGCCAGAGAGTGAGCCATCCCCACGCACAGCTGCTGCTTGCGCTTGCATCTCAGTGCCTTGGCTAGGCGAGAGGTGAGCCAGAGACGCGGGGAAGGGATTTCTGAGCAGAAGCAGCTCTGGCAAAGCCAATTTTGTGCCGGATTCAGGTCTCAGAACTGCAAAACAGACCCAGGAATCTTAAGGAGCAGCACCGCCGCCATGACAAAGTATCTAAAGCCAGAAATGGGGCAAAACTAAGGCTGAGAGACAGGAGAATGGGCAACTGAGCTGCATCACGAGACCACCCCCTGCCATTCAGGTGGGAATGGAGTGATGCTAAGGGCGCGCTTCAGCCCAGCGGAGGGGAGTGCAAGGTCCAAAGGTGAGAACTTGAGGGCAGAAAAACACAAACTTCAAATTAAGTACGTTTCGCAGCCATGCGGTCACCGAAGGCTCTCTGTGTCGCTCAGCAGCTTTAAAGGGGCTCAGCCGGCCTGCCGATTCCATTCCAACCACGCAACATCGCTGGCTGGGGCATGAAGGGCTGCCACACTTGCTGTTTCTCCTTAACTCTATCCCTTTGAGCCGGTGGTCGGGCTGCTACCATTTTGAGAAATTGCTCGTCCTGGTGGTTCTGGGTTGGTTTGGGTCAGGCAGTAGCGGAGATGAGCGCTGCCTTCCTCAGGAACACAGGGCAGATGCCAGCAGGCTCTCGTGCCCCGGTTTGGCACCTAACCCCATGCCCCATCCCACTCCCGCTGCCCCCTTACCTCTGCGACCCAGCACCTCGTGCCTGGAGCTACTCCTTCTGCCTTCGCCTCCCCTTCGCCTTGCAAGGAAAACCTGCACAGGGCTCAGCGCTGGGGGCAAAGACCATGATAACTGGGTGCTGGGCGGGGAAGCTCCTCCTCTCCCATCCAAACAGCCCCAGCAGCCCAAAGGAGAGGCTCAGCCAGAGGATGGACTTCTTGACCCCCTCGCACACAAATTTTCTAAAACCAGACAAGGCAGAGCCTGGGTTGGCCCCGGGGTGTTACACAGGCAGGTGGCCGTGCGTGTTTCCAGGCCTTTGCCCAGGGCCACCCCATTTCCCACCCTGGAGCTCTGCTACTTTTTAATTTAGCTGTGCTGGAGCAAGAAAACCTTTGTGCAGCCTCAGTAGCTTCATGTGGTGATGGAGCCACACGGCAGCAGTCCTCTCTCCCCACTCTGCTACCTAAAGCCCAGCTTATCTCCATCTGCTCCCTGGATGCCCGATGAACTGAAGCCTCTTAACCCAGGTCCACCTGCTGTGGCCATAACACACCACCCATCTTCCTGCACCACGCTGAGCACCTTCAGTGCTCCTCCTGGTCTCTCCTGTGTGCACCCAAATGGTCTGGTGCCAGAAAACACAGCATTAAGCCCAGCAGTTCACAGAACCCACTCTGGATTTACAAACCTCTCCAATTTGCATAGTTCTGATCTCTTCCCTGTGCCTTGAGGACACGGCTGCGAGCCAGCATCAGTCCTGGAGAGCTGCGTCCTGCAGCAGCCAGGCTGTGCCCACTGGGAGCTTGGCAGCAATGTCATTTGCCATGATTTCAGACACGATGCCCGCGTGCCATCTTGGTCATGCTGGGCATAACAGGTGAGTGGGGATAGGCACACTTCAGACATTTCACATCATCATTGACAGCCACGTTCCTTGCAGCATTTGGTCCCAGCACTCCCCTGCCCCGCAGCACACTGCAGGATGCGGCCCAAGCGTTCACACTGCTGCAGGGCATGAGAAGCTCTCTGGGAGATTCAGCATTTGGGCAGCCAGCATGTTCCTGCAGCAACTTAGCATGACGAGGGGTTAGCACAGGTGGCCCACAGCTCTGGGCACCGCGTGTGCTGGCGGGACACGGGCTGGTGGCAGGGGACACTGACGGAGTGCCCTGAGCAGCAGGTGTGCAGAGCTGGCAGCCACAGGGGACCAGTGAAATCTGGGGGGGGTCACAAACCTGATTTCACAAGAACAGCAAAACTGTGCAAGCCCAGAGGGAGAAGGAACACCACAGCACATATTCACTACCATCTTCACAGCCACTTACTCACATATTGCTTGCCTAAGGCCAGCTCTGCACTCAAACCAGAAGTGCCACCCAGGGATCGATGCACATGTAGATGATTTCCATGCACGCTAGATCATCCTCCTGGCTCCCAGCTACACGTGCTTGCAGTGGGGTCACAACCAGCCCAGCCCAGCCGCCAGCAGCCCCGTGGGCAGGGCAGGCTGTGCTGCCTCTCCCAGCCGGGGGCCGTGGCCGCAGCCCCTGAGCATCCCGCACGCCGCCCGCACTCCCCACCAGCTGTGTGCTGAGGCAGGGCTGCGAGGGGCACGGCGCCACCCGGGTACAGAGCCAGCCTCTCAGCTCTTGCTCATCAGCACGGGCAGCCCTAAAAATATCCCTGGAGGCAGTGGGCTGACGGCAGCTGTGCCACAGGCTCCGTTAGGCTGATGGGAGCAGCCCAGTCCCCAGCAGACCCACGGCGGACCCCAGGATGTCACAGGCACCGTGCCCCAGCCCTGCAGTGCCACCCCCAGCCCACAGCCCTCACCCCTCACCCCGTGCCGTGCTCCTGCCCAGGCCATCGCGCCCTGGCATGGCCAAACCCCTCCGGCCACCCGCGGGCTGGTGGCCCTGGGGACAAGGCCCCGGTGGCTGGGCTGCATCTCCCTGAGGGACGTGCTCCAGGCACGGGGCAGTCACAGCCCGCACGGAGCCATCCCCCGGGAGCTGACGGGGTGCTGGCAGCCTGAGGGACCTCACCTGCTTCTCCTGGGGCTCCAGGGCAGGTTGTGCTCGGAGAGGGGTGAGCCTGAAACACCTCTGAGGCGCCGGGCAGGGCCCAGCGGCAGCCAGACATGTTTGCTAGGGAGGGCAAGGTCTCCCCCCAGGTACCAGGCGCCTCCCCAGAACGCCGCACAAGGGCTCCTCTGTCCAGGAAGAAGGAAGGAGCCGGGTGTTTCAGCCTGCCTGGAGAGGGAGAATGTGCCGGGGGAGGCGAGGACAGCCCAGCCCTGAGGGGATGCCCCCACTGCTCTTGCTGGGAACCATGTGTGCAGCCCCGGCACTGCCAGCGCAGGGCTGGAGGCCGATGGTTTGCGGGGTCCCTGTGGCTGTGCCAGGAGCGAGCCAGGCCCCCACAAAATGGCAGAGGCCGGGGGAGGCGGCCCCAGGCCTGGTGCGGGGGCAGCAGGGGAGCCGGGCTCCTGGGGAAGGCTCCCACACAGCAGGAGGCCAGGCCGGAGCAGGCGGGCGGTGGGGTAGGAGAGACCCCACGGCTCTGGGTACAGCTTATCTGGAAAAGCCCCATGCCAAGGCGGAACAGGCGAGGGCTGCAGCACTGCCTGGGGCTGGCCCATCAGGTGCTGACGTGCCTGGCCCGCAGCCCAGCAGCTCGGAGCCACGCAGCTCCCATGAACGTCGCCTTTCTTCTCCCCGCCGCACAGCCCTTGGCAGCCCCTCAGCCTCTCCGGCTGGGGAGGGAGAAGAGCCAAGGTCTGTTTTTCTGTCCCTTTTCCCCTTGCCAGGCCCTTCACGGCGCTGAGGGCCCGAGCTGGGGTCTCCCCTGCTGCCAGGATGAGCAGAGCAGCCCCCTGCTCCACCAGGGATCCAAGCGGGACGCCCTGTGTTACTGCAAGGCAGAATTAAGAGCATCGAGTCCCCTGCCAGTCCTCACAGGCACCAGCTGTTCCATGGTGTTTGGGAACATCCACCCAGCTGGAAATGAGAAAGCCGGCAAGGACTCACCCCCAGCCTCTTCTCTGGCTGCTGCCACAGCTGCTTCCTTTGTCCTTCCTTCATCCCCAGGCTCTGCTGGGCTGGCCAAGCAATCCTCGTGTCCCTGCTGTGGGGCCGAGCAGCCACACTAAGCCATGGGGTGTAGGTGCTCATCCCCCCATCAGCCAGGCAGTGCCATGGCCCACTCCCCCTTTTCCACAGAGCTGGCTGCAAACTAATGGCCCCTCTGCATGCAACCTGCAGCCAGCACCTGAGCCAAAGGATGCTTTGTTCCTTAGCCTCACTCCCCAGTTTTTATTTTATTTTTTTGTGTGTAACTGCTTGTGGGTATGAGTAATGAAGTTTGATTTAAACCCAGCTGTGAAGTGTTAAAACAAATGGAAAAGGGACAGGGATACTGTGTTCAAGAGCAGCAGCAGCAGCATTTTTGGTACTGGCTGAAAATGACAGCCCTGGCAGCTGAACCAGCTTCAGCACACACTCATAACCACCTGATCCCCATCTCAGGCTTTGCTGGAGGTCCATGTGCACCTAACTCAGAGATTGTGGACTTGATTCGCAATAGTTCTGGAAGGAGCTTGTTTGTCTAACGTGTACTTGTGTATAACACACCACGGTGCAGCCAGGGGTGCTGTTTGGACATGAGGCTGCCTGGCAGAAAGGCTCTAGCTGTGAGGACAGGTTTCTCCTACTGTATACCGAGGACTTCAGCAGGGGTATGAAGACATCCAAGGACACGAGCCATCTGCCTTGCCTAGTCAGCAAGGAGGCAGCTCCTCCCTCAGCCAGCTGCAAGTTTTCATCCACAGATGAATTACTGGGACGCTGGGTGCTCCTGCAGTGTGAGGGGCACGCAGGACAGCGACTCTCTGCCAGCAGCTCAGGTAGAAGAGCACAGACAGCAGGCGTATTTCATTTCTCACTTGCATTGTGTACTGAAGGTGTTCCCAGAGCTATGCAGAAGTGAGAATTTTTCTTAAAAACAGAATTGCAGGCTAAGGAGACCTCTTTTCAGGCTCTCCTACCTCCTCCTTTTTGTCTACACACATTCTGTACCATTTTAATCCTTTTCCAGTACCCTCCCACACATTTCCTTCCTTCTCTAGGTGCTGTCAGAACAGTTTTGACTTCAGCATGGCCACATTACTCATGCTGCAGCAAGGAGGCTGTGGCAATATTCATACATGGATCTGCCTCAAAGATAGCAATCGGGTGCATGTTTCCCATTCCTCTGCAGACCAGGCTGGTGTGGTCAAAAGAAACCTACTGATACACCTACCTCAGCTATGCTCATTACTGGAACCAAACAACAACACATCTATCCCACCTCAAGCATAGCACTCTTTACTCATCTGAGTGAAAAACCTGAAGCTGCTGAACAGCTCTAACAGCGAAGCAAAGAAATGAAGAATGATCACGGGAAAGAGAAAAAAGGCTCATTTTCACTTTTAGCAATACCTCATGTTGTTCATGTCAAACCTAAAATACTTAGGTTAGCGTAAAGTGTGGAGTAAGTCAGACCTAAAGGTTCCATGCAATGTCTACAAATTTGTCAGAGAAAAGGAGACGTTAACATTTTCCCCAACTAGAAAAGCTGCCTTCAGGAATATCTGGCATTTTAGACTTCAAAGGTATGGGCTGAAGTAATAATACAATGAATAAGCAATTTATTCAAGGTCACTCAGTGTGTCATTAACAAAAATCCCTGACCTAAAGTAGAAGAATCTCCCCGACAGACAGTTTAGCAGGTGAAATTCAGGAGTCAACACTAAGCAAAGAACAGAGCTACGTGACTCTGCATCCAGGTAAGATTTTCTGATGACTGCTACTCTGGCACTGCTCCTCTCTGCTACAGAGCAAACCTAAGGCAACTCAGCTGTTAATGCTGCTGTCTCAGGTCTGTACCTGAGTCAGGAAGGATTCGTGGTTCCATCCTTGCTCTGGTTTAAGGGCCGTGCTCCACTCAGCCCTTAAGTAAAAGAACTGCTCGGCATCTCTGAAAGGCACCTGAGAAATTACTGGATAAGCATTAAGATGGGTATTGGAAAAGAGTAACGCTAACAGAACAATTAGAAACATGATGAGAATTTCCAAGTTACATTGCTTGAAGGTTTTAAATTAGTCTAGAGATCACCCATTTTGAGATTAGATTTATTACTTGTTCAAATTGAAAACAAAATACAGGCTACCAGAGTCTTGTTTTCATCCCATGTTTGCATTTAAAAAAAGAAAAACAAACAAGCACAACTGCAGACATGTCAGACAACAGGAGCCCAGTTAGAGAATGGAAGAACAGAGATGCGTGGAAGCCTTCCGATACGCGATCAGTCAGAGGGCCACACTCCTCAAACAGTGCAGAATCAGTCCAGCCCCAGCTCAAAACACTGGGAAGAGAGCAGGAGCAAGCAGACCAGATTCTGCTTCTGACAGTACTGTCTCTGGTCACCTGAGAGGTCTTCTGATGGAGAAAGGCCTCCTGGAAGGCCAGCCACAGGCAGAAGAAACATTACTGCAATCAGGTGCTTTAGAAAGAATACAGTCACCTTTTTAAACCTTATAAAAAATTACCACTGGCTTGCCAAGCTCATCCTGAACAAGGGCAAACCATGATTCATTTATACTAAAAATGCTTTTTATGGGTCCAACCTGAACCAGTCACAGATGGAAGCTTCATGAAAAGTGAAGTGAGGAGGTCTACTGCCTGCAGCATCACGTGTAATGGACCCAACGAAGGGCCGTGAGAGCTCCCAGGGGGCATACCGAGCAGGATTTCCTACTGAACGCTCTGAAGAAGCCCCTGACTAGCAGATACTCCTGGCAGCACCTTGCCCGGACTGGAATGATGCCGTAACATCGATAAACACACGCCTAGAAAACAAACTACTTAAAAAATTGTTATCAGTCATGATCAAACTCCAGGTAACTAAAAGCAAATGTACCTTTGAGACAGCTGCTCTATAAAGAGCTTTTATTGCTACCTGTTATGCTTCAAGCCATAAACCCAATGTTTTTTTGACAAGTCAAATAATACAGATCCCCACTCCCGAACATCAGGATCACCAATTTGAAGTTCACAGACAGGAGCCAAAACGCAGTTCAACCACTGCACTAGGATAAAGTATGTTCACATTTGAACGATGCAGCACAAGAACTGACAGGAAACTCAGAAAGGCCCTTTGTCGCGGAGTGCAGGATGGCAGCGGTCTCCAGCACAGTGCAGCCAGCTGACAAGAGCAAAGTCTGGAGCCCACAGAAAACGCAGCAGAACAAAGCTCCTGCTCCAGAACAAGGCATAGAAGCTCTTGGCTCAATACTCCTAGAGGTGGGTAGCAAAACCTGCTGCAGTTTAACAGCAGCACTCCAAACAACTCCAGCTGTGTTGTCCTAGGCTATCCGTTTAGGATGAAGCTGTTTAGAGCTAGGTGTTTGTAGCACAGGTAGCACGTGGCACCCGAAGGTGCGGCTGAGTTATATGGCGGTTTGAGGAGAAAGCCTGCACACAGGCCTCTTTTTCCCTGGAGGGAGAATGGCAGATGGCAAAAGGAATACATTTCTCAGTAATATGCAGGTAGTGTTCAGCCTACGTGAAGTTAATACCGTATCTTAAGATATGCTGAAGGAGCAGAGGCAAGTTTGTTAAGAACCTGCCAGCTCTTCTCCACATTCACTAATAGCACATCGCTTCAGAGAGGCTTAGGTATAGGCTACGATGCCGAAGTGCAATTCTGCTTCCATTGCATAGACCAGAGTACCCACAGCTACTAGACTCTGGCCTTCATAGATCCTAGTTTTATCAACTATCCCCCATTCATCAGAAAATGATTTAATACCCTGAGACCAGGAGTTTTGGACATTAACAAAAAAAAAAAATACACAAAGGAAAGCCACTGTCTCCTTTCAGAATCTGTTTAAGCCTTCCAATACTGATGAACAAGATACTCCACCACAAAAATGAGACAGAGGAACTCCATGAAAAATTGTGGTTGTGCAAATCTTTGCTACTCATATCAGCCTCCTGACCCTAGAAAAATGTAGGGATGAGGAAGATTTTCTTTATAAAAGTTGTAGTTTATTTCTTTTCTGGTCAAGAGTTGTATCACTACACAATACTACATTTTATTGCTAATCACAAATTGATGCACCGGGGTTTCAGAATAGTTTGGTTTATAGCGTTCCTACGTAACAAAAGGAAAAAAGTTACAAATCCAGACTTTGCAGACACTTTGCTATGTCCCTATAGAAGCAGGGATGCATTAGGTCTGTTTCACTAGAAAATTCTCCTCTCAAACTGTTTCTGGAGAACATTACCTTAGTTTTCTCCAGCAGGAAAGTCACCTCATCATCCCATGCAAAAGGAAGGTGGCCAATCTGCTCCACAGCCTACAGTCCCTTTCCTACAGAACGGGAAAGGAACGTGTATTTACACGGCTCCTGCTGTGGTGTGTTAATGCTTAAGTTACTAGGAGCACGCTGGCACATCTTTGAGGTACACCTACTCCCCAGCTTAACTCAACTTCCTGTTGCTGAGGTAGCAAGTCCTCTCCAACGCAACCGGGATGTGCCCTACTTACGCTCTGTAAAAATGCTGTGGTAACCTTTGCTAGACTGCAACGTGGCAGCACTCCTCCCTCAGAAGAGCACTGCACAGCTCTTCAGTAATACATCCAGTTCAGCGCATGCTTGATCTCTCACAGACCCAAATTCAGCTGTTGTAAGCAAAAGCCTGTGGCCACACGAAGGGCAGTGCTGCCACAGAAGAGGTACCGCACTGCCTCAGGTACCGCTGCCCTGTCATACCCAATACTGCGATGCTTGGATTTGAAGAAGGAAGAGTTAGAACTCTGTCCCGTTGGTCATTATTGCCTTAGTGGGAGTGGGAAGAAACTTAAAAGAAAATCTTTGGGAACTGAGTGTCTATTGGGAGCTGAATGCTTATTCTTGTTAGAAGGCTGCACTGTGCAGGGCTCCAGACAGATTTTTTTTTTTTGATACTGAGGCACATACAGTTAAACTTATGAGTAAGTCTAAACAAGCATCAGAACAGAAATATTAAGTGGAGGATTAAATAATTTGTCCAACAGGGTTCAATTTCACATTTCACCTGTTCACAGAAGCACCTCCTGTCTGCTTGGATCTGAACAGCCTACAGCTCAACCCTCAGAAAGGAGGTGCTGAGAAACAAGAGCCTGAAGCTGCTTGCAACAAAAAAAAAAAAAAAAAAAAGATGGATATAAATATAAAAAGAGGTTCAACGTCAAGCACCAGTAATACTGCCTGCTCAAGCCCAGGTGTGGCCACCAGGGAGACTCCCAAGATCAGGAACATTATTCTGATAAAACAATAGACTTTGTACTATTCTGCAGCTGCCAAGATTTCTGGCTAGAACTCCCAGAAGAGTTCGCCACCTGTCATATTGTCTCTAATAGAAAAAGCAAGACTGCTCGACGAGATGAAAGCAGCACCCCCTTCAAGCTGGCTTATTCAGTAAGGACCCAACTTCAGACCAGGAGTCTGCAGGCATCAGCTTCAGCAAATGGGATCTGTTTCACTACTGAACAGCTGCCTTTCAGCTACTGCAGAGCATCAGCTTTTTAGCTTCCTTAGAAAAAACAAAACAAAACAAAACAAAAAACCCTGGATTTGAAGCATCCAAATATGGCCTGTTGTACTGGAGCGTTTAAATCCTTGGGGAAAGTGGGCATCTTCTTCCTCTGCCACAGGCAGCGCTTACTCCATGATGGCCCGGTACAATGCGGGTTCAATGTAATCTTCCCGGTAGCGTGAATTGATCACTCTTTGTCTCTTCCTCTCTTGTCTGACCTCCTTCTCTGCAAAGATCTCTGTGAAGCGCATATCTGAAGCTATTGACTAAAAGAAAAAGCAGAATTAGCTGCCAGAACAGAGATCAAATCCCTGCCTACATATCCTCTTTTTGTATGAAAGGAGCAAGATGGGACACCTGGCAACATTCAGACTTCTTTGAAAACTGACCTCTTGGGTTTCTGTACAAGAAAAATATTTAGGAAATTGGATTTAAAAGTCTGGGGGTAAGTTGAAGTGAGCTGTAATCAGAAACCTAAAGAATCACAGCTTTCAAATTTAACTGAGTAGCTAATTGAGTTTCAACTTGTACAGCAATCTAGTACGCTATGTGCCTTTTGTAGCAGGCAGGTTTAAATAGCTGGTGACAGGAGCTATTTTACATGCTCTTTGTTAAACCTCCAAAATCCTGTGTGCCTGCAGTAGGTGTGCAGGACCATGCTGTAAAGCAAGACACCTATCCCATTGTCCTGAGTTGTAACTTTCATAGCTGGAAGCATAAAGCAACAGAACAGGGACCCAGAGAGGCTGCAGAATCTCCAGCCTTGGAGATCATCAAAACTTGGCTAAAGACAGACCTGAGTAAGTCTGTCCCACTTCAAAATTTAACCTGGTTTGAACAGGTGATTGGAGCAAAGACCTGCAGGGGTCCTTTTCCACCAGGATTACTTTGCAATTAAAAACAAATAAATATGTTCAGCTTTCTTATTGCCACCCTACAAAGAGGTTTCCAGAACAAAGGATAAGAGGAACTTCACTGCTCTTTGCAACGGAAATACCCGATGAAGCTTACAAATACATGCACAGAGGGGGCAGTAACACGTGCTGTCTCAGATAGTGACTCTGTGCTACAAATTCCCATTATTTGCAGAAGAAGGAAAAGGAGAAGAATGAGACTCTCTCCCTCCTTCCCCTCCTTTCGTAACCAAATCAAAACAATAAAGCTACTTAACAATTAAGGAGGGTATCAAATTATAAGTCTTTGCTGCTGTGCACGTAGCTTGCTGTTCAAGGACAAATCAAGTAAGCATTAACTTCTTTAGTAGATGTTTACACCCTGTTTTACCTACCAGCCTTGACTTGACTCTCTTAGGAAGCTCCTCGTCCAGAGTGTACACATCATCCCTTTTCACCATCAGCTGAGACCCATCTTCAAATTCCACCTAAAAGAAAAAGGGAAGTTGTTCTGTCAGAAATCTTAAGAAATTAGAAGACTTCCACAGCTACCCTTCCTTTCTCTTCCCTGCAGAAACCTTCCCATGAAATAACCTTCTACCAATTGGATTTTACATGACACACATGCAGGTATGCACACGAGAACAGACTTGAACCTCACCCAATCCCATGACAGCACAAGTAGTCAAGTACATTTTGGGATATTCTTGTAACCCCTGACAAAACAGTCTAGATGGTCACTTGAATATATTGCCTTAATAATCCACTCTTGGAAGTGTGAAGGCAAGATGCACTAAGCAGCAAGAACAAAATCAAACTTCTTTTAGAAATAGATTAAGTTTCAGGAACTGAGTCAGCTGAAGAAAAGACCGGTGCTTTTCAGAAGCTGAGACTTCCAGGCATGTAGCCAGATACAAGCAGAGCTGCAGGCAATCACTGCTTTGCTGTTAACTCCAGCAACTGTCATTGTTGAAAACACGGAGCAACTTCCTCTCAAGCATTTAAGCATGACCATACTATAATTCTGCCAGCTTTGCAAACAGCCCTATTTGAATCACCAGGTTGTCGTGAACAGTAAGTTTTCAGACAATTCTGTACCTGGTACATCTGGATGGCGTGTGATGCGACGAACTTGGCTCCATAAACCTGTCCATCTGTCCATCTGACCTGCACAACTTCACCTTCAGCAGGAGGACCTAACTGAAGGCAGTCTCGACTCTGCAGCATAAAGGAGGAAGATGGGAGAGAAGCAGAAGGGTAAGCAGCTTCCTTATGTGAAGACACAAACAACAGGGGAATCCATCCCACTCACATCAGGGACATTGCACAGCACTCCATTACTAACCCCATTTTAGGGATTGAGAAACATCTATGTCACCTGTATTTGAATCCTGACTGTGTGCCCAATTTCAAAGTACTTCACGCAGGAATAACATGAAAGTACTAGCGAGTTTTCATTCAGACTCACCACTGTTAAGCAGCTAAAGATTAGCTGCACTCCATTACACCTGTCCTTCAGCTAACCTCAGTTAACCTAAGTCAGCCTCATGTAACACCCTTCACACTGTCTTGCAGCACATCTCAGCCGTAACATGCCCTAGGGTATGGGACACCTAATAAATTCCATCATCAACCTGCTCTGGAGCAGCAGGAATTGACTCTCATCATGTGCCCTCTATTGGAACCAAACACCTACTGCATAACATACCACAATGTCTTCTGGATACAGGTTGTCGCTGAAGGAGCCATCATCAAAGTTGACCTCATAGAAAGTCTCCTTTGCAAGGCTGACCACTTCGCATTGATAGAAGCGACCATTCTTGTGCTTGCTGATGACTATCTGTCCAGGTGACAGATCTTGGAGTGCAGCCTTCGCTCGCTGAGAAGAGAAAAGCACATTTTAAACACAATGACACAAAGAATGTGTTGAGGGACACAGCTCTGGTGCTGGCAAACAAGGAAGCAAAGTGGTTTAGCTCAGGTGAGTAACTATACTAAAGATGCCACCAGCAGCATTTTTGGGAAAGTTCTACCTCTAGTATTTCAAATGCTTAAAACTTCGATCTGTTAGCTACAGCTGTCCAATCCTAATGCAAGCTACTTAGTAAATTAAAGTCTCATTTTTCAGAGCAACGCAAGGCCTTTACAGTCAATATTCTCTAATAGACTGCGGTGGTTTTGATGGCTAAAAGGGCTACATGGGAACTTTGTAAACTAATCAATCACTTAAGCATGAAATTCTACGACAACTCACACAGCCTTCTGGAGACCCAGAACTAATGGTTACATATTAAATATCATGGCATGAAAACACTATTATACCTCATTACAACAGCCACAGGAGGAATGTAGTACTCTGTCCTCCTGGGCTGCAAACTAAAATACAATAAAGGACCTAAGATCACTCAGAACAGCAGCAAGACTGAGATCAGAATCCAAGACCAGTATAATTAGAATGTTTTAAAAGAGTCAAGCCTTCAGTGAAGTTTTAACAGAATTACTCAATCTAAAACTTCTCATTCCCTCCAAGACACTGCTGTTCAAATCCTGGGAGTCCCACACCTACTTACCTCTGCCTGTGATGGGATCTTATGTCTGAAGCAGGTAATGAAGACAACAAATGGCCAGTCATCAGGCTGCATCATGACTCCTGCTGCTTGGGCACAGCTAACATGAAAGGATGTGGGACACCGACCGTGGGAGCACTGTACACAGCAACCTGCGATTCTCTTTCTTCGTTTTTTGCAGAAGATGCATTTCTGTGGATTGGAAGCTAAAGGTTACTGTTTGGCAATAGTTTTCACTCACAAAAAAAAAAAAGTCTGGTCTAAGTATCTGATGCTGTACCCTTTATTCTGAGAGAGCATTGCTAATTTTTGATGAAACAAACAGAAGGCTAACACCTCTGGTTCATGACAAGGCAAGAATTCATACATTTAGGTAATCCCAAAGATGAAAATATACATTAAAATATCTACTATCTCAACATGCACAAGACATGTGACCCAAAGACTCAAGTACCAGGAGATGATGGATTCATCGTTTATATATATGTGTGTGTGTGTATATATATTTTTTTTATAAGACTCCTAAGTCAACAGGATCTTTCAGCACCTGGCTATTAAGCTTACATAAAAACAAGCACAAGAAATTAGCAGCTAGAATACACAGCACTGAATTAATCTTCGGGAAAGCACTATAAGGATGTATTCTTTTAGCTACTAAGGCTGCACTTGAACTGGTTAACAGAAGGTAAGCTAAACAAGTAGTTAATTACAGTAAAGGTGCAGCTTCACCAAATTCAGTATCATGACTTAGTTCCAGCACATTTTTTGGAAAATACTTTTGGACATTACATGCTTAGGACACAAGAGTTACTGCTGTAGACTTTTCTAGTGGATTAGCCCCATTGCAGTAAGACATGATTCTGACTTCAGGAGTTGTTTAAACCTGCAACAAGTATAGTACTCATGTTAAATGCTAAAAAGTAAAGCAAGCCTTCGGGGAGCATCAGTAACCACTAGATCAAGCAAGGATCTTTCTAATAAGAGTTTATATTTCCTCTGATCTCTGTTGTACGCAAACAGCTGCATAGTCTCTCCTTCCAGACCAATACTTTCAGAATTAGCAAGATGAACAACAACAAAGGAAACCCCAGAAGTGCAGCACAGGTGCTCCTTACCAGTCTGAAACGTTGCAGGGGGATTTTGCCAACATCTACAGGACTGCGCTCTGCGATGTTCACAAATTTTGCCTCCAGTACAGCTACAGCACACATTACATGAACCCATCTGTCAGGACAGAAGAGGGGTAAAAAAAGGTGAATACACGCTAGGTCAACATATGATGCTTTGGAGTTTAAGTAAATATAGTTCTGATTAAGCTAGCCACATTAACCTAGTTTCTGCTTGATCACAAAGGCTGAGAACTAGCAGTGTCATCTGCCTTCCTACTACTAGCAAAAGGGCAGGTATGGGGCAAAACAAGACTTCTTCATACTTTCAATCAGATTTAACAGAAGAGCAATTTAGTGTGATTTATGCTCCATCACCACAACACATTTCATAGAGAAATCGAAATCTTCTTTGAGAAGGTACCAAGAGATTTTATCTCATCAGGAACCTTATTTTCATGTGGTGTGTTACACCTCTGCACCTTGTGCTTATAAAACACAAAGCAATTAACAGCTGGTGTCAACAGAAACAGTACCCTATTACCTGAAGAGGTGACGATTGCTGCAGGCAATGTGGAAACAATAAACACACTTCAACATAGGTTCCCTCCTGCCCCAGTAACACAAAGTGTGAAAAGTGTTGCTGGTCACCCCATTACACCAAATGCCAGCATTTGCTTTACTAGCCTAGCCTCATCTACTTAGGAATCGAGCTGCTCCCTGAAGACAAGAAGAAAAAAAAAAGGCTGAATACTCACTTGTCATCATTGGCTCTCTGCAGTGCTCCTCCTCGTAATGAACACAAACAGCAATCCTGTCACAAGGAAGAAACTGGCTGAAAGAGTGAAGTCCATAGCAATGCACTTGATCACAACTACCTCCTCAAAACGCGCATCCAGAGGAAAAAAAAAGTTTCACTGTCAGAAGAGAGCTAAATGCCTTGGCCAGCTCAGCCCTTTGGCTCTCAAAAGGTGCTGCCCTGAGGGCAACAGATAAACATTCTCTAAACACTCACAAACATTCTCTAAAATTGCCTTCTTTTCACAGGAGAGAATAACAAACTTTAAACACTATGGAAATGAACATTCTAGCGAGTTCCCAGATATACCACATTCCTCATAAGATTGTTAAGGATGGAACTTTACCTCTTCTAAGGCATTTTCTGTGCACCTGGAGCACATCCAGTCTTCAGTGGCCTTGTCAGGGGGTACACCATAACAACCTAGGACAGACACATTTCAGATAAGAGCTTACCTACGATCAGACCCATTCCCCTAGGGTCCCGAAGTAAGGCAGCAGTTAAAATCAGTAAGCCTAGAAATAATGGTGTATATTGCAAGTTGTTCATGCAATCAGCTCCATATTTCAACAGCCACTGCAAATATACACCAGTCAGATAATGGCTGAACTTGGTCTGTTTGTAGATTAACATAAGCTTACTAGCAAGTACAGACTTAGCACAGAACACTACATTTAGGGTTAAGTCGGGATGCACTCACTTGCATGAACACAAACTTGGCAGTTCCTGCAGGTGATGAGTACGCTGGTTCCATCTTCCTCTAAGTAGGGGGTTGAAAGATTGAGATCAGTGCTGCAGCCAGTTGTAGTGAAGCACATCTCAGGAATCAGGGGTTTGGTTCGGATCTTCCCATCTGCAGCACCTGGAGTTACTCCAGAGCTTTGACTGTTGCCTCCACACTCTGCCTGTAACAGATAGGTATTTTTCTTCTTCACAAAGGAAGGAGGAGTATTTATCTGGCATTTTGCTCCAATTTTTCATGTGAATGGGTAAGGGAAGTGAGTTCCCAGACTTGCTACAAAATACATTTGAACAAAAACCATAACCACAGCTCAATTCTTGGTGCAGTCCCTCCTTGCAGCCTGATGTAGACAGACACATGAAAACTGCAGCTGGAGTTTTCTGCTTAATAGCATTTAGAAGTGAAGAAGCTAACAGAACTTAAGTTATCTCAGTTTGTTAAGTTTATACAATACCAGCAGTAGTGGAAACTCAGTAATTATACAGCTTCCATGCAGAAGCTCCAGTCCTAACAAGAACCTCCTATCAGGCAGAAATAGCAAGGTCAAACAGAAACTATGGTCTTGGGTTTTCATGGAAATTAGGAACTACATGCAGTATAAAACCTGAAAAAAATTTTAGGTCTTTATTTCCAAAATTATAGTAAAAATGTTTCTACAGCCACCGGAATTGTATGGTGATCTCAAATAAATCAAATAATCTTAGCTCATAAAATGGGAAGGGATGAGCTATCAATAAGTTGCAGGCGGCACATGCTAGTGGACAACTACTGAGCTACTACTTAGCTCAGACATAAGAAGTTCAGTGTGGGATTTCTACCTAAGCATTTAGCCAACGTGCTAATGGGGTTTGCAACCTCTTCTCAATCCGTGCATTGCTACAGCTGCACTTTGCTAAAGCACATTTACATGTCATAGCTACAGGTACTGTTGATGTGGATATACTCAAAAAAGACAGCTTTCTATCTGTGTCATCTGCAAACATGATCTTAGCTCATTTTACTTTAAAGAAATGTTCTCCTTGCTAGCTCCCCAAAGACCATGTGCTAGATATAAGTGGACTTAAAGCGGTTTTTTAAAAAGCGCAGAAGTGAAAGTCTCACTCCGGAAAAACGGAATGGATTTTGTAATTGATTCCAGCAGCATTCAAGCTCCATTCTGTGGTACTAGCAAAAACCACAGAACATAAAAGCTTCTGTTGAACAGAAGAGTGAGTCCCTGAGAACCCGCAGACAGTCCATCAGAGGTGTGGTGAGGTTCACCAGGTTGTGCTCTCCTGGAACAATTCCCTGGAAAGGCTGCAACACTGATATAGCTTTTATTAAGTAGTGATGCCCAAACTGACAATCACGGTAGAAACTTATTCAAGCACCTCTACTGTAACACTAACAGACCTGGACTACATACCTGATACGTCTGGAAGAGCATACAAACAGCACAGTAAGGAGACTGCTGAGCCATGGTCCGGTTGTATTCTTTTTCAGCCTCAAAATTTGGTGGCCGATTCTGCCACAGCTGGCTAAGTGGCTTGGCCCAAGCTTCCGTCTCTTCAGCTTCTTCTTCAGGAGTCAGTTGCTCCGATGCCTCTGCAACAAGAGATCATTAGTCAGTGATTATGTACCCTTTCATAGATACCATTCTTGCAAGTAAAACTAAATAAGGCAAGACATTATGAATGGAGATGACAAAGACTGCAACAAATAAAGTTTACAGAAGGGTGATGGGAGTCAGTAACCTAGTCTCATTTTTAAGCAGCTTCTACTAACCAAGCAACAGATCAAGACAGGCTTATTGGACAAGAACAGCATCAGCCCCAGAGCACATCAAGACTAAGGCTGTCAGCCAAGGACTCTATGTATTTAAAGAAAATATATAGAATCATAGAATATCCTGAGTTGGAAGGGACCCTTAAGGATCATCAAGTCCAACTCTTGACACCGCACAGGTCTACCCAAAAGTTCAGACCATGTGACTAAGCGCACAGTCCAATCTCTTCTTAAATTCAGTCAGGCTCGGTGCAGTGACCACTTCCCTAGGGAGCCTGTTCCAGTGTGCAACCACTCTCTCTGTGAAGAACTTCCTCCTGATGTCAAGCCTAAACCTCCCCTGCCTCAGCTTAACCCCGTTCCCGCGGGTCCTGTCGCTGATGTTAATGGAGAAAAGGTCTCCTGCCTCTCGACACCCCCTTACGAGGAAGTTGTAGACTGCGATGAGGTCTCCCCTCAGCCTCCTCTTCTCCAGGCTGAACAGGCCCAGTGCCCTCAGCCGTTCCTCGTACGTCTTCCCCTCCAGGCCTTTCACCATCTTCGTAGCCCTCCTCTGGACACTCTCCAACAGTTTCATGTCCTTTTTATACTGTGGTGCCCAGAACTGCACACAGTACTCGAGGTGAGGCCGCACCAGCGCAGAGTAGAGCGGGACAATCACCTCCCTCGACCTGCTAGCGATGCCGTGCTTGATGCACCCCAGGACATGGTTGGCCCTCCTGGCTGCCAGGGCACACTGCTGGCTCATATTCAACTTGCTGTCTACCACGACCCCCAGATCCCTCTCTTCTAGGCTGCTCTCCAGCGTCTCATCGCCCAGTCTGTACGTGCAGCCAGGGTTTCCCCGTCCCAGGTGCAGGACCCGGCACTTGCTCTTATTGAACTTCATGCGGTTGGCGATCGCCCAGCTCTCCAACCTATCCAGATCCCTCTGCAAGGCCTTTCCACCCTCATTCGAGTCCACAACTCCTCCAAGTTTGGTGTCATCGGCAAACTTGCTCAAAATACCTTCTATTCCTACATCCAGATCGTTTATAAAAATATTGAAAAGTACCGGCCCTAAAATGGAGCCTTGAGGGACCCCACTGGTGACCACCCGCCAGCCTGACGCAGCGCCATTCACCATAACCCTTTGGGCCCTGCCCGTTAGCCAATTGCTCACCCATCGTATGATGTTTTTATTTAGCTGTAAATATAAACATTTGCAACAATTACTGAAATGCTCTAAGGCTGACTCTGAAAGGACAAAGTAGTACCAGAGTCTGCTGCATAACAGAGTTGTAAATTTCCAGAGAATAGAGCAGGAAAGAAGGAAGATGCCATTCAAGAGCAAATTTTAATGATGCAAACACAAGAAGGTGACAAGCACTTTGTCTGGGATGCACAGGTGTAGCTTGCTGACTGCAGTGAAGAATGCCATACACTGCCCACACAAGCTGTGGCCCATTCTACAGTTTCCCAAAGAGCACAGGGCTTACCGTCATCACTAATGCAGTCTTTAACCAAGAGCGGGTGATGGCGGGGGAGCTTGCTCAATGGCTGGCGACGACCCTTGGATTTCTTACTCTCCTTCATTGATCTGATGTACTCCTTTGCTGCCTGCACAAGGAGAAACAATTCAGTAGTCGTTAGCACATGTACTTTTGACCTTTTAAAAAAATATATTTTGAACTTATGTGATTTTATTTCTAACAAACGAACTTGAGATGTAAACTTAGCCAACCTTTTAACAGCGAACTGCTTGCAGCACTTCTGCTAAGAAAAACTACATAGCAAAACTCAGTTTATGTTGGTTGTTCAATTCTGTAAGAGCTCTGTTGAGCCATTTAGAGACTTAGCACAGGACCCAGTGTCCAGTGCGCTAAGTCTACTTATACAAGAATGGCATAAAAGATAGAAACAAACAAACAAAAAAATGAATGGTTCAACTTTGAAGGGCCACAGTAAGTCTCAAGCATTCTGAAAAAATAATGAGTTGGTATGTCAACTTTGACATTCCAAGTTAAAAAAAAAAAAAAAAAAAAAGATAGAGCTCACTGACATCTCAAACTATGGGCCTTATTTTAAACGGAAGGAAGCTTTCACCTCATCTTCTTATTACTTGCACTGGTGTCTTCCCAGACAGACTGGAAGGAGGAGACTACAACAACTGTTACTTCCTCTACCCTTAGCCTAATGTAAAAACAAGTGACACACACTGACAAAATTACTACTAACCTGACAAGCACAGCCATAAAGGCAATGATTTAAAAAGACCAGTAACAGAAAGTCTCTCAGTAGGATAAGAAACACCCTTTCTTTGAATCTCATTCCTTTAAAAGCAGAAGTAAATCTTAGATTAAATGTGTCTTTCATCTTTGTAATTTTTTTAAATATACAACAAGACAGAAGAGAGCATAACATCTCTGATCCCCTACACAGAACTAGCTACTAGAATTCTCAGAAACAAATATGCTTTTCTTCAAATGGAAATAGTATCCCCAGTTACCACCTAATGGAAAATTTGTTTTGAAATACACCATACTGGGAAAAGCTATCAACACCCATTTAAAATTTCTTCTTTTCCCTGTATGGAGCATGCAATGGAGACATCAACATCAGTAGCACAGTATCTTCAGTTTAAATATACATGAGAACTCAAGCTCATTTTCAGCTTTATCAACACATTTGTCCAGCTGCTGCTCCATTTCTGCAATTCCTGAATTTTGAAGATCCAACCAATGTCAGCCTCCCACTACTTCAGCACAGGCTTACAGAGGGAGACAAAGTTATTTGAGAAAACAACAACAGGTAAGATGTTAATTACAACCTTCTTTTGGATTGTCTAACCAAGGATTCATTAAACATTCAAATTTATGTTTTCCCCAACCAGTAATTTTTTGTTCCATTATTTCTTTCTAAAATAAGGACAGAGATGTGCACATGTATGTTATTTTGTAACAACATCAAACAAAGTGTCATCATCATAAAGGGCTGGACCGAACTAGATTTACTTTAGGTACAAACAGGCGTCTGTAGCCACAGAAGGACCTGGATGAGCCTGTAACACTACCATCTCAAAACCACCAAGCTACACTTTCGCTTAAAGCACCTGAATAATTTAGAGAAGTTCTCAAAACAAGGGATCTCCTTGTTTTCTAGACAAGGAAAGGGAGTAGGACGTTAATCTTAATTTTTCTGTTGTTGTTGTTCAGCAAATCCTATTGGTGTTAAAAAACAGATTATTGACTAAGCAACCTGCTACCAAAACAGCAATGAAATGGAAATGTAATCTGCACAGAGAGAAGTTGTGGCACAGTAAGTCCACGACCACGTAACGCAGCCCTTAAGCTTGCCGTACTCACGCCATTCGTACCTCTGCCAGTTCTTGTTCATTCATGCTGGCAGTAGCACTGGTTTTCTTTCCTGAAGTCTGTTCACTGTCAGATCCACTGGCATCCCCTTTAGCGTAGCTATGGACTGTAAGCACCCCAGCTGGCCCAGGTACAGTTCTTTTTGGCAACAGATCAGTCGATTCAGAGTCTGAAGAACCAGAATATGCTGGCGAGCCAGGCTGAACGCTGCAAGTTGCACTCTGCTTCGAAGTCGGCAAAACTGAAGTAGAATTTGAAGCATGCGAAATGGAGAGGTCCAATGCAGCTGCTTCTTGCTCTTCCTCTTCTTCCTCCTCAAGCTTCACAGCTTTCAGTTCTTCAAATTTGGCTGAGCCCCCACAATCTAGAAGAAAGCATACACTGACTCTTTCTAAAGTCTGGGCAGCAGAGAGAACAGCCTGCAACCACTTGCAAAAAGCCAACCAGGAAAGCAGACTACTAGACAAGAAAGAAATGTGACACTAAGTCATGTAAACAGGAGATCATTAATTCAAACACCTATAAAATCATGGTTGCCTTGGAGAGAGAGAATAGAAGCATCTGCTCATTGCATTTTACATTACAGGAACCAGGGTACATCAAACAAAAGTAGCAGAAGGTGTGTTTAAAATAAACAGGAGATGGTCCCTTACACAGTGTAGCTAGACAATGCAACTCCTGGCCACGTGATGCTGTGGGTAAGAGCTTACAAGGGTCCAAGGGAGACTTAACACAAGGAGAAGAGAAAACGCACAAACCAAGAGGATCATTAATTACAAGTTCCAAACGTCTGGAAAGCAGAATACAAAAGAGAGGCATCATGTACATATTTACCCTCTTCTTATATTGTTCCATAGGCACCTCAATCCTTCCTTAAAAGCAAAGACAATTGGCCCAGTACAAGCCACATTAACTTCCTCTAGCATACTGATTACAAAATTACTACAAAAACATCCATACAACACAGCAGAGCCATGCTACCAGGCAGCCTGCTTATGCTTTACTAAGCAATTGTACACTTACTTACTGAACAGGTCACACTGTACAACAGTGCTATACAGAGGACCTTACACTGCTAAGGTATCGAATAAACTTCAGTATGTCAGCAGACAAAATAAAATCCAGAGTCAAAAGCCAGAAACACCCATTTCTTAAGCAAGTCTCTTGCAATACTTCCTTTTAGTTCAGCTGAAAACCAACATCCGCATGAACTACCTGCATTCAAGCAGATACAGGACGGCTGCCTACATGTGCTCTTCCCCTACATATAAGTAAGTATTTTTACCATGTAATTCTCATTGGGCTGTTATCCATATACAGGCTACAAAAGCCTGCAACTCAAGCTGTGTTTATCTCGTTTACTTAAAGTGATGACTACTCAACAGCGTCAGCCACATCTAACCAAGGGGCACAACCTAAAACTGTTTTAGCTCTACTCTCTGGTCTCAAAAATTAGATGCCAATATCTCAAGTCTCATGACAGTAAGTTTCTGACATGCTTTCCATGGCTCTGACAAATTAGTGTCTGCTTTTTTTTTTTTTTTGACACAACAACATTCTATCATTTTGCCTTCTATGAGACAGCACTGCAAACTCAGATCTAGCAGCTTTTTCTCTGAAGATTAATATCCTGTCCTCCAGTGCCAGGATAAAGCTTGACAGTTACCTGAAAGCTTGCGCCCTTGTTCACCCTGCTGCCCAGCTTCACTTGTGGGTATCTCACAAGGCTGTGCCGCGTCTGCTTCATCCTGCGCAGAGCTCAGCTCCTCCTTGGGGAAGGCCTCACTCTCACTCACTTCCTGAGGTACTTCCAGGCAGACTCTGTGCCTTTTGGTTCCAATGCGATGCTTCGGCACGCTGCAGAAGAGAAATTCACACCAGGTTACCAAACACATCATGAGTTTGCTGCACTTATGTCTGGACACACAGTATACAGCCTGGTCTGGGTCACGTTTTATGATACAGCATCTGGCAAGCTAAATAGTTTCCGAGTTATTCTGAAGTGCTTCCTTTTCCTTTATAGGAGCAGAACCGGTATTCCTCAGCACCTGTTAACTGTCTAGTAGGCACCTGTTAATGGTGTAGTATGTTCTAGCCAGACATTCTTTACCTCCAAAACAAAATAATAGAACAAAGATTTAGGAGTACTAGCTGACGCTGGTTGAAAAACCTAAAGCAATTTGCCTGTCACACACCAACGTTGCAACTTGGAGTACTGATACTACTGGACTTTGCTAGCAAGTACCATCTCATGATCCCAATACACCACCTTTTTCTTTTGACTTCCAAATGTATGGTAAACACTTCCAATACAGACACCTGTCCAAAGATGAACCATCTTCCAAGCTAGTGCATTTCTCATGTATAACAGGATATCATAACTTGGATTAAAACAGTAAAAAAAAAAAGTATAAAAATAAAGAACAAATAAAGAACAAACCCTATTCCCAGGAGAAAAAAAATAGTCTATTGCTAACTCCAACTTCTATTGTTTTATGGAATAGCAAACAAATTGCAGCAGAATCCAACTGCTAGTAACTATGTACAGCACTACCTTTTTGTCTCATCCCCGTCCACCTCCTCTTTACACGTTTCTCCTGTTTCCATTTCCTCAGCATACTGCTTCCCACTCTTGACTTTTTGCATAAGATCCCCTTTAAGGAATTCTGCTGCTTCCGGTGTTGGAAGAGTATGGTCAATGACAGTCACGTCCTTCCCAGCCTTCCAGAGCTTGTAACGATCCGGCTGGTACTTCCTCACAAACACGTCCATGGAGATCTTCACCATGTCCTTCCGGCATGAGCACTGGAATCACAGAAAAAATTCAAGTAAGGCTACAGCTCAACAGTTTTACTCTGCACTCCTACATCACTTCGCTTTCAGGAGATTAAATGAAGAAAAAAAATAATCCCATTTTCATGTATGTAAGCCTCAGAACAGTCCCTCTCTCGTGAAAGCAAAACAGCATGTATTAAGCTACTTGCTAAAAACTGGGCAGAAAAGTCAGCAAAAACAAAACAGAAAAGATGCTACCACAGTAACTAAGAAAGAAAGCTCACCAACTATGTACCTAACATAGTTGCTGGTAGAAGCTGACAGCCTTAAAAATCCATGGGCTCATGCAAGAACAGCCAGCAAAAACAGACTGTAACGAGGAAGCTGGAGTCATACAAAGTCTGGGCCTGACCACAGCAGTAGAGGCTCCCCTTATCCGCTTATAGTTAAAATCAGTGTTTGAAAGCATTCACTTCAATGGAACTTCTGAAAACGTAATCCATGTTTGTAAGGCACCTCCTACAGGAATATAATATTGTCCAGTCTAAAGGTTCATTGATAAATGACTTAAGTTAATGAAGCCATACTTGAAGCTAAACACTCAATAAACAATGGTTAAAATATCAGACAAAATACTGAGAAGTCCTGACCACCAACCACACCCTTTGATCTTTGGAAAGATGCTAGTCAGTCTCCTGCTCTTCTCTGAAGCCTCACTTGATCTACACAAGGTGAAAAAAAAAAACACAAACCTTTCTGCTAAAGAAAGATATGAGGCTGACCGGACAACATTACCTGCTCAGGAAGCAAACATCACATCTTAAATTGAACAAAGCACTGAATTCACTTCCTTAGAACAAACATCAGGGGCTTAAAGAGGAGCAAAGCATCAGGCACTGTACTCAGCTTATCTGTATGCAACAGACCACTTACCAGTACAGATTGCTTCCCATACTCAATCCACCGAAGAGTAGCAAAGTTGGTAGATTCAGCACAGTTAAATCCATGATTGAAGCCAGCGTGATAACTATAAGGAAAGGTTATCATGAACTCCCCAGCTTCCTGCGTCACCTAGAAGGCAATTGAGACACCGCACTGTTATTCACAGCTTAAGAGTCAACTCTGTGGGTCTGAATAAAAGCAGCTTCTGTACCCCGCACGCAACATATCTGAAACCCCTACCCACACACAGTAATTGGAGTTACTTGCTGCAATGGATAGACTTCATACATTGCTCTCTTACTTAAGCATTTGTTCACCAGAAGGCAACACTCAACAGTTTTTACTAAAACATGACAGAACTGATCAAAATAGCATGGAAGTAGCTATACACATGAAATACTCTGCGATAAGGTACCTGGAATTCATGTGTATTTGCTGCCATTTGGCTGAAGAGTATCCAACATCAACTAAAATTTCTATCCACACACACCTCAGAAACTTATTGCTGTTCTCACTCAAGTACAGCTCTCGGTCAACTCCTTTTCAACACATCCCCACTGCCTAGTAAAGGTTCATGCAACCCTTCAGCTGCCCCTGCAGGTGTAACAGTATTTCTGAATAAGGACTCAAGGACTAGACTACATTTATACTGCTATATAAACGGAGGTACAGTGGGAAAGGATTGCTGTATGTCCTCCCTGTTCCTATTTTCCTCTCTAAGCACCTGGTACTGGCTGCTGTTTGAGATGAGACAGGGCTGCATGAACCTTTTGACTGTGTAACTGTGACTACTTTTCTACACCTTATCAAACGGGATGCCGTATTTCTTCAGAATTGATGGAGAGATCAGGGTCATCTTGTGACGGAGAAACGCTTCACAGCTCTGGGCACTTCCCGGAAAGAATCCTGTTTAAATTAAAGGCAAAGAATTATGTTATTGTTCTGCTGTGAATTGAATTATTTTTTCAATAACTTTTACTAAAAGTTATTGTCTGACCAGTATTTTTCCCTAGGCCTAGAAGTATGGGCCACCTTGTCAGAAGTGCACTAGCTTGCATTCTGAAGAAAAGGAACAACTGGAGGTGTCCTTAAGAGATGCCCATTTGAAAGAGAGTAAGACCACACACAGATGGATCTTCCCTCAGCTACAACCTTCCAGATCTAACAACCAGTAGTAAGAATTGCGTGATTACCTTTGGCAAGTCTCTCCAGCCGCTTCCCATGCTCTGGAGGGATAGAGTACCTGCAAGTCATAAGAACAACTCTGTTAAGTTCAAGTGACATGACAGAATCTCAAAGTTTGACTGGAAACCGTAACAGGGCATCAATGAATTACTGTGGTTTTTTTTCTTTTAAAAAATACCTCCATCTCCACGCCATCTCTTTCAGAGTTTGATGATACAAAGCTAAAAATCTTTATCAAGGACTTTCACACCCCTATCCTTAAGAAAATCAAAAGCCAAAAGCTGACCATCTCCTCTAGGGACTTAAGCAGCCAGAGAAATAAGAAGTCTGATGCACATAGGAAAAATGTAAGTTACAAGAAGAAAGGGAGGAGCACTTCCTAACCTGAGTTTGCAGGCCCACAATATACCCAGTACAAGAAACACAGAGAAAGACAGAAAATGGAATTGTATCTCTTAGCAGCTCAGTCCAAGGCTGGACTAAATCAGGTGTGATGCCGCATCCTCAACAGGCACAGTTTGCAGCGTGCTTGTTAGCACTATGTCTCTCTCTGTACAACCTTTGTAGGAGTGCCACAAAACTCGTAGTTGGTTTCAGTTACTCTAGCCAAACCAACCACTTAGATTTCTTTTGATCTGGGACAGAGCACTACAACCTTGATGGAGTTCCTTGTTGAGTAAATCAGCCCAAAGCATCTGCAAAGTTAACTTTTTCCACTTACGACTGTAAAAGAAGCAATAGCCAAAAGGTTTAAACTGACTCAATTATTCTGCTTATTCCCATGCTATTGCCACTGCATGGGGTTGTTCGCTGGTCACATGGCGCTAGCTATTATTTCTGACTTCAAAGTTGCATTAAAAGGCAGCCAAAAATACTAGTTTCCAACAAAATTGCCATGGAAACAATTGTTGAAGTTGCTTGAGAAATTCATTTGTGAACAGAAGGGAATGATTCACTCTTAAAATGCAACCCATACTACAGAAAAATTCAGAAATCTCCCCTAAAAAGAATCACGAAAGCTCTGACGCTGGGCAAACCGTCTAGCAAAATCCACTAGCCTGCTTTTATATCCATGATGAACAGCTACATTTCAAAGCCTGTCAAAAATTGTGACTGCACGATGACAGGCTTAATACCTCTGTATGGCCATTTTACAGCTCAGGAAATTTTAAGTAAGTTTTCCAGGTTCTAGACCTATCACACCAGATTCTGTCCACCTGACATTATAATTCTGGAGAACTCTTTGCATCACAACAGCAAAGAGATTTTCTAAAGGTAACCAAAAAATTCTACAGAGGCCACGTACTGGTTTTAAATTCCTTACAGGTTTCTAATGCTCTTTTCATCAGATCCAACTGCACTGCAAGATAGAAGGCACAGTAATTCCTTTACTCAACTCTGATAACTTCACCACTTTGACTCCAATATTTTATGGTATTCTTTTCCTACATCTAGGAAACCTTACCATGACTTGGGTTCCCCAAAATGCAAGTAATTAATACTGTAGAGATCCATGTCTTCAGTATGCCAAGCAAACGAAGTTTTCCACATGCCAAAATAGAGGTAAGGAGTATTCACTCCTTCGATGGTTATGCCACTTTCATTCTCCACGATGTCCAGGATCGTGTTCAGTCTGCCAATGTTCCACGCATCTACGTGCTGCAAAACAGAAGTCTCGTGTTAAACGGGCATTACAAAGAACAGGGCCACACAACTAAGTCAACAGTCACAAAAAGTTATAGGATGCTTGTGATCAAACAGCACCTCACAACAAGTCACTTACTGACATAGTTCAAGTCATTAGCTAGCTGACCTAAAACAAGCTTCCCATGGTGTTACCTTACATACTGATTGCTTACCAAACACTTTTATGCAGAAAAAGAACTTAACAGCTGACACAGTAAGGATTAGGAAACAGTCATGAAGCTACAGACTTCGCCCATTAGAGAACAATAGTGCAAGCTTGAGCTGATGTTCTAAGAGATGGCAGACAACCTTCCTGAAGGGAAACAATTTGCATCCTGAACTCTTTTTGTTTTTTGAAGTGAATTAGAATTTGGGAAACTAGCCACCAGAATACATGCCCTTTTCGTATGTTTATCATCCTAACACACAGTGGCTACAGGGCTGTCACACAAAAATAAATGCACTAACTGATACCAAAGTGTACGATTCACTGATGAACACTATTCAGGACAAAGCACTCTACGTCAAACGAGACTTAGGTGACAGTGGTTCTTTAATTTTAGAAGTCACTGAGTACACTTACTAAGTGTACAGTTAAGTGCTAACACTGACATTTACTAAGTAAGTGTTACAGTTCATAAGTGTTTACAGTTGAATACTCACAGAGGTTCCCTCGAACACTACCTCTAGTAGCCCTTTTAATCTATCTGGTTTAAACAGAAAGCGTATCACAAAAATACAGCTTATTGTGCTCCTTCTTACTCAGAAGCTGGACTTCTGCAAAGACTATCATTAACTCTTTGTGAAAGTTAGAGTCAAATGCTTCATAAGCTTTTATGGAATGCAACACAACACATCTAGAAATAACCGCTACTGGAAAACCAACACTGTCCTACCTTCTCATACAGCGTGCCATTAACATCAGCACCGTAGATGGGGGCATTGAACGTCAGGTTCTTCCAGTACTTTCGTTCAAGGTCTTCGAAGTCCGTGTAGCGGGGCGTGCAGTACCTGAAAAAAAAACAACCAAACAAAAGACTTTGCAGTTTGATACTTGAGGAGTTTAAAACAACATTCTCCACCACTGAAGGAATCAAAAGCTACAGGAAAAACACCTAATGCACATTATCAGCCAGACCCCCGCCCCTCCCAGAACAGCAACCACAGCTGAGACTCGGAAGCCAAGGATCACAAAGAAAACAGACCTCCCTGTTTCCTAGTTTACTTTCATTTTTGCTCAGTGCGCTTTTCTCAGCTCAGAATAATTTCACTTTCTACTCCTTGCTACTTAGCAAAGAAGGATGCATTTGAAACCGGAAACGGTACAGAGGCCAACTTTACAAAACCAAAAGTGAAGCGTGAAAGGAAAATCCCTAATTCCCAGACTCACCTGCTCGTAAACTGGTCAAGCACGCTCAGTTTACCAACAAAGCACTTGTTTGCTCTGTCCGTACCTGCTTAATACGCACCGGCCTCTTTGTTCACAGCCGGGGGGCTAAAGTTACACTGACACATAGCGAACGCAGACGCATCTTCTAGACTATCACACATACAGCATTAAAGCAGGTTTCAGAGAATTGCTCTATTAGAGGCAGACCCTTAAAGCTGTTGATGCGCTCTGCTCTTGGAGGACAAGATCAGCTCCGGCAGGCAGCCGGCCGTGTCCCTGCCCCTCCTGAGCAGTCACGGCAAAGGTTTGTTTTTCGGAAAAGAGCTTCCCCCTCCCAACCCACGGCCGCTCCACGCCCCTGAGCGCGGCTCGGTCAGGCAGGGGAGGCTGAGGGGAGGCTGGGGGCAGGACGGAGCCCCCCCGGCCCAGACCTACTTGTCGCTGTTGGCGATCCGTCGGAACTCGCGCACCGTCATGGCCTTCTTCTGGATGTTGTACTGCGTGAAGAGGCCCGACTGCCCCGTCACCACCTGCTGGATGGGCGCCGGGATCACCAGCTCGTCGATGTCGTCGTAGCACCGCCGCGGCCTCCACTCCTTGGGGGGCACGATCTGAGGGGGGGGGAGGGGAGGGGACACCGTGAGGCGCACAAAGGGGCCTGGGGGGGGGGGGGGGGGGGGCTCGCAGGCCCCGTGTGGAGGCTGAGGGGGCCCCACCTTGGCCAGCCCGGCGCGGTGCGCTCCCTGCGCCTCCACGTAGGCGATGTAGCGGCTGAAGTCGCGGAACTGCTCCATGCTGGGCCGGAACGTCATGATCCGCGCGGGGTTGGGGCCCTCCAGCTCCGAGGCCATGGTGCCGGGCGGCCGCTGCACGGCGGGGAGCGGGGCGGGGGGGGGGGGGGGGGAAGGGGGCGGGTCAGACCCGCGGCTCCTCCCCGCCGCCCAGCCAATCGCCGCGGGGTCCGCGCCGGCCCCGGCCGCCCATTGGAGGAGGGCGCTGTCCGTCAAGCGCGCGGCCTCCCCTCACACCCCCCCCCGCCCGCTCTCCCCCTCCCCTCCCGGCCCGGCGCGGAGGGATCCCGTTCGCCTCGCGGAGGGCCGCTCGCGTCTCGCCCTCTCCCTCCCTCCTCCCCCGGCCCGCTGTATCCCTCCGCACCACGCGCCCAATGAGGCCCCGCAGCACGACGCCGCCGACGCCACCGCGGCCGCTCCCCGCCGCCCCGCCCCGCCCTCTCCGCCGCAGCCAATCGGCGCCCCGCTCTCCTTCCGCGGCCAATAGGAATTCGACGTCCCGTCGGGGCCGGCCAGCGAATCGGGAGGCCGGGAGCGGGGCGGTTGCTAGGCGGGCGGGGGCAGGCCCGGAGGCCGTCGCTAGGGGGCGGTTGCTAGGGGAGCCCGCGGCCTACTCGGGCCCAAGGCGGCCGGGCCGGGCCCCCGAGCACCGCCGGCCCCAAAGCGCCCCGGGCCGCCCCGCAGCCTCCCCTCACCCCGCCCATGGCCCCACGTTCCCTCATGTTCCCCCTCAGTCACGGGTCCTTCAGTGTCACGCCCTGGCAGAAGGGCAGCAATCAGCCTTAATCGGTGGGAGCAGGACTTCCCTGCTCTCGGACATGAGCTGCGTCAGAACATGAGGGAAAAAATAAAGTAAAATAAATTATTATTTTAAATAAAAAGGTCACTCACTGGGAAACTTTACAAGCCCACACGGCAGCGTTGCTGAGAACAATGGAAGCCGGGGCTGTGGGGGAAGTTTCCAAGTCGCTGTGCAGAATAAGCCCAGATCTGTTCAGTGCTGCTGTTCCTTTCTTTAATCACTGTTTTGCCCTTGAAAACAACCAAAAAACAAAATTGGAGTCCCAAAAGGCAAAGTCTGGGGCAGTGTGTTAGCTAGCAGTGCTAGGAAGCAAGTCAGGCCTGGCCGGGCACAGCTTTGCTATAGGTACCACGGGAACGCATAAGAAAATAAAAAGAGCCCAGGGGTACCTCAGTGCCCCCGATTTGCGTATGAGCAGCTGCCCTGTACCTGCTGTCCTGCCAAGCAGCTTGCTTTCTGCAGACCGTGCCCTCTGCAGAGCTGGTTATCTGACTGCACTGGGGCTACCTCCAAATATTAAGGCAGGGAAGGTTTTTTGCTGAGAAAAAAGCACAACACAACACGAACTGCCCAGCTGCACTGCTCAGTGTCAGTGTGATCAGTCTGAAAGAGAGGTGCCAAAGGAAAGAGGCCAAATTCCTCCTTTCTGCATCGCCTTGGGACCGTGCACTCAAGGCTTGGCGCGCGGTAGCGCTGTGAATTCAGGCTGCTGTCAGAGGGAGGGAGTGACCTCAAAGCGGTACCAAAGAAAATGGGGCAAAAAACGCCAGCCAGGATAAATTCTTTTTGGCCAGGGAAAGCTGAGAAATGCAGACCAGGCACAGCAGTGCCAGGCACTGGGCACAGGCAGCCTGGCTCATCTGCCTGGAGCACACCACAAGCCTACGTGTTTGGGCTTTTTTCCCCCTCTTTTGTGAGATTTGCAGAGGTAAATGGAAATAAACATTCAAGGAACAGGTAAATGGAAATAAACGTTAGAGGAACAAGAGCTTTCAAGTTGGTATGACTCCAACCCCCTTGGGCTGGCTTTAGGAGAGCAGTGTGGGCTTTGTGAGAGGAGGCTGGTGCAGTGGGACCTCCCCCACAGACAGCAGCTGTGTTGTGGCTCTCTGACCTTGCTGTCCTCCTGGGGACCATCCCCTTGCCAAGAGGGCCCATCCTTGCTCTTTAGGAGCCTCCTGGGCCTCTCTGTGTGGAGCCGTTCTCAGCTCTGTGAGGCTGGCACGAGGCTTTTGGTTCTCTCCCTCTGCCTCTCCTCTTTCTACCCAGCCCATAGGCACTGCCTGCCAGAAAGGTGCTTTGCATGTGGCAAGCAGAGAAGTGGAGCCTGCAGAGGAGGTGAATTGGGAGCATTCTGTCCCTGTGTCTTCCCTGGTCTGGTTGTAAAAGGTTTGGGCTAAGACCAAGTTACCAAGAGGAGAAGAAAGCCCCAAGTGTTCTTGCAGGATGTGTATGCAGATGTGGACGTGTGCTGACAACGGGTGTTCCCAGTGAGAGCAAGGCACCGCGCTGGAAGCCAAGCAGGGACGAACGGCTCGAGCCGTGCGTGTGGCACTGCCTGGTCAGCGCTCAGCGAGCAGCACAACTGCGTGGGGAAAGCATCGCCACCAGCTGCTGCTCAGCAGCACAGCCAAAGCGTTCTGGCTGCAGCACAGGCAGGTGCTTGCTACCTGCTTCCTAGCTGGCTGGCTTCCTACAGCACAACGGTTATGGCACAGCCTCTTCCCTCCCCAAACGTGCCCACGTACGAGCAGCTGCGTGCTCGGCCACGCAGCCTTGCCATCGTGGGCCCTGGCAGCGCTGCAGGGCAGAGCTCCCCACTGCCAGCAGTGCTGGCGTGTGCCTGTGCACACACACACAAACACGCCTGCGCACGTGCTCTGCCTCACAAGGGCAGGCACTTGCTGTGCCCTGGGACCTGCAGCCTCGTGTGGAGCTGCCCCACAGCAGAGTGAGAGAAGCTCAGCCAGCCTCGGGTCACCCCGGGTGGAAGTGCTGGGTTTGAACCAGTTGGGCGAGGGGGAAATGCTGCTTTGCATCAGGCGCCTGCTGAGGCGTCAGTCTGACCCGGCAGGAAGTGTGACATGTCACAGCTCCAGCAAAGGCAGCGAGCAGCACGTAAGATGCCCATGATCACATCAGGAAAAGGCTCCTGAAGGATGGACAGGCAGTGGGGCCCTGTCCTGCGTGGCTCTGCCCCGTGCAGTGGGCTTTCCTTTGCACGCTTGTGCTGTGTCCAAGTGCTGCTCCCCAGCAGCCGGCACTGCCCCGTGGGATTGCTGGACATACGCAGGCAGGGCTAGGGCTATGCAGAGGAGGCGCAGCCACGCAGGGCGCACCTGAAGTGGGTTTCACACCTGCACATCCTCCAGTGCTGCTCTGCACCCAGGGGCCAGTCAATGGTTTCACTGCTCAGCAGTGCCAGCACATGTGTCTGAGCTCGGTGCTGCAGAACGGCATGACTGCAGCACCTCAGGAGGCCGGGAGCGTCTCAGCCTCCTCCAGGACTCGTATTGCCCCCACCACCCACCCACCAACCCCTCTCTTTCCTGCAAACCCACCAGCAGTCTGTCGCTGCCCCAGCACAGTCCCGCAGCCAGCCTGCTGGCAGGGAGGGGGATGAAGGTAAACGCTCTTCTGATTAATAACGATTAAGAAGAGGCAGGAGAGCAGCTGGGCAGGGCAGGTCTCACGCCATGGGGGCCCCGTGGGAGGCGTAGGGCACCTGTGGCTGGGGTGTGCCCACAGGAAAGGACCTCTGCCAGCAGGCTGGGGAGCATGCCCACCACCGACGGACCCTGGAGCCTCAGCTTATTTCCGAACAAACAGACAGCAAAGCCAGCTTGTATGAAACCCGATTATTCAAATTTATTAACATCAAGAATTATGCAATGATGCTGTAGATTTTTTTTTTTTATTAACAAATAGAAAACAGACTGTATACAACAGTGACCCCTACAGCACTATGCATCCACAAGGTAAAAATGAATGTGTCCTCCAACATTACCAACCCTGGATTGCTGATTTCAACATAGCTTGGATTCTTAACATTCGGAATACATGTGATAATACAATTAGATACCCTTCCACCACCTTTATTCATAACTCAATGCACTTGAAAGAGGGCTGCTCACTCTGTCTTTAGTGCAAGCATGATATAATAAGGAGTATTAATATATAGTACCATTAAATTAAGTCCAGTAGTCTTGCCACATTGGTTCATTAGAACGTCCTGAAGTAGCAGAAAGTACAATATTCTAATGACTTTTAACATTTGCAGGATAGCAGAAATTATAGACACACCCAACCTCGGAAGCCATGTGTACTCCCCCTCCCCTCCCCTCCCGCACCCTGCTTCCCACAGGGAGCAGCCGGGGCTGTGCTCCTTGCCTTTGTCAAATGCTCCAATGCACCTCGTGGCTGAGAGGTGACAGGGTGGCGCTTGCACGGACAGAACCGGGGGGCTAACAAAAGGGGCCGTGTCTCGCTGCTTCTGTCCCAGCCCTGGGGATGTGTGGGGCCCGCTTGCTCCTCCTGCCCCCTCCCCAGTGAGACACACAAAAAGGGGCTCCAGAGCCAGGAGCCCGGGGTTTCGGGTCTCTCATGAACAAGGCGACGACAACTCGCGTCATGTCGGGATCTGCCAATACACACGGTCACTGGGTGGGTTTGACACGCGTCGTGATAGGACTGAACAGTTTCCAGCTGACAAACGGGACCGCTTCTCCAGTGACCCCGCATGCCCTCCCAAACCTACTCAGGAAAAAATGGGGGAAGGGAAAGGCTAAAAAAATAATTGGTAGCTTAGGTCCAGTTCCATGAGATTTCATATTCTACAGAGGATTTAAAAAGCAGCCTACAGGGAATGGAGCTGGGCAGGAACCACAAGCCAGCTGCTGCAAATTACCAAGGAAGCTGCACTAAAATGGGCAGAACCAGCAGTGACTGGGCTGAAATAAACACAGGGCGGTAAAAAATGTAAAAGCAAAAGGAAATTAAAAAAACAAAAACCCAACTCCCAGAGGTTTGGCGGGTCCAGTTCTGCCTCGGCAAAACATTAAGACTTGCAAAAAAATAAAAAATAAAGAGAGAGGAGATTATAAAAACCACTAGTAACTATTTTACATGTTTAAAAAAAAGATCCCATTCCACCCACCTAAAGCCTCGCTGTGAAATGCAGTCGCGTGAGAGAGGGCGAGAGATGCACATGAGCAGAAATGCAGCCAGAGACTGGAAATGCTTTTGGAGTCAGATTCCCTCGTTTGGCGCTGGGGCGAAGTTCCTAAATGCCGTGGTCAGAACTGGTTGGCGTGGAGGTCAGCTGCCTGGGCAGCGCCTCGGTCTGTACAGAAGGACTGAGGAATGGGCGGCTCTGGCTCAGAGGGACCCGTCTCCACTCCTAGACATCCCCACCGCGACTGGAGGAAAGCACTAGTTACGTTGCATAGTGGTCGAAGCTGCCGAGATACTCCAGCGCCGCTCTGTAGCACAGCTGGTACTGGTCCTGCAAGGCACCGAGGGGGGCAGCGTGAGAAATGGGGACGCGAGGACATCGGGCAGCATCCAGAGATGTCGGCTCCCTTCCCTTCTCCCAGCACCGCGGGGAGGACGGGCACTCACCTCTGTCTGCACCATGGCCGGCCGCTGCGTCCTCAAG